TAGGTGGGACCTTCATGCGCTATGCGCGCGCCTGACGGTGGTAGCGAGATCACTGTGTAATGGCCGACGTCTGTGGAGACAAGCAAAGCAAGAAAGCGTGAGTTGGTCTGTCTGTTCCTATTCGTGATAGCTGCTACTGCCTTCACTGCCTCAGAGCGATAAGCGGAGCTCCAGGCTCAGGTAAGACCCACCATCTTCCTCTGACACCCCTCCCTCCCTTTGACACCCCACTAGGACGGTGGACCTGCTCTGCTCTGTCAAGTACAGAGAACAATCTCTCTCGCGACGTTCCTTTGGTCCAAGTTCCTCAGCTACCCTTGACTCCATGATGTGTGTAAAGCTCTCTACTGTCAGTGTAAGAGAGTGTGAGATGTGGAATTAATGCAGGTACATCCGTACAATCCACACAAGTCTTGAGAGGACCACAGCCATGAGTGCTGACTGACTGAGGTGCGACTCGTACATACCCATTTGACTGGTCCTGCCGAGACATATGAGAACAACGATCCTTCAGGTGTTCCTGTCCTGCGTATATACTGAGAGAACGTGAGTATTGTTTTCTCTTCGTATCTGAGCCTCGCTGGACCCGACAGCACGCAGCTCTACGTGGAGGAAGAGGGCCCCAAACAACCTGAGCTCAAAAGGTATACGCATTCGCAGACCTTAGAGCAGCACGCCTACAAAATTTCCATGTAGACACGACACTATAAAGTTTTTCTCTCCCAAGCATTCACCTCTTTCACTGTTCCTCCTCGACCTCCGTCTAATTTCTCCCCTAGAGCGACAGCAGCATGCTAGGAATGGGTCTTGGCGACGGAGACGGGAGTACATATCGACGGAGTACTCCAGACCCCATTCCTCCATGGAGGGAGCTGAGAACAAGTGAGCCACACTCCAGAGTGTGTGTATGTCCACCCCCTGGCCTGTGCAGAGTGGGGTACAGTGTGAAGAAGAGACTACAGAGTATGGACACATACAAGGTGTGTATTATGTTATGTACACACAGGAGAAGTATCTCAGAGTCTGTCTTCTTGTAGGACAGAGCCAGTCAGATTTCAGCTATCGAGGCTACGTTTGAGGCAGCCAAACAGCCTGTGAGTTAATCCTTCATCCAGCTGTCTTTCTCTCTCTCACTCCCTGCTGCCTCATTTAGATCACCAAACACTACAGTAAACCTGGGGTGACAGCAAAAACAGTTCACCCTCTCTTCCCAGACTTTGATGTAAGTCCTCCACTACTAGCTGTGGCCCTCTCAACCCACTTTAGCCCTCTCATGCAACAGCTGTGGAAACTGCCGTTTGCTCAAGTGATATTTGACTCAGACCCAGCAGTGGCAGGCAAGAACCCGGGCCAGCAGAGCAAGGAGATGTCAAGAGCCATGATCAGGTCTCCTTTTCCTCTTTCTCTCCTTCCACTCTCTCTCTCTCTGTGTAACACACCTTTATTAAACCCACCCATCTCTCCCTTGTATCCTCTGCCTTGTGTGATGGTGAAGGGGAATGATGGACGAGAACAACGAACAGTTTGTGGCCTACTTTCTCCCAACACCAGACACACTTCGCACCAGACACTCTGAGGAGGCTGAGGCCCTCGAGGGAGACCACGAACAAGAGTTAGTTTCTCTCTCAGAACAAGAGAAAGATGGGAGAAAGAGTCAAGAATTGAGAACAAGGTGTTTACTGTCTGTAGGTATGAGTATACGCTGACTAGGGAATACAATTGGAACGTGAAAAACAAAGCCAGCAAAGGATACGAGGTAAATGCGCTTCTTCCCCTTCAATAATCTATTTTCAAAACTGCTTCCTATGTGTGTGTGTGTGTGTGTGTGTGTATATACAGGAAACCTATTTCTTTGTGGTGAGGCCAGCTGAAGGTATCTTTTACAACGAGATTGAGACAAGGTCAGGGGTCAGTGTGTTGCACGGGGAATGAGGATAGTGAGGGGTCTCTGTCTCTCTTCTCCAGGGTACAGCTGAGGAAGAGGAGAGGTCGGACAGGGAAGTCAGCCATGAACTCCAAACTGATTGTGAAGCACAGGGATATGACTGAGGACGAAGTTTACGCCCAGGTCTGTTGCTATATATTGTACAGTTTATGTGGTCTCACATTTTGGGAATGGAACCGTCCTTGCAACACGTGGCATGACTTCAATGTTGTTACAGTACCTATTCTCTTCTCAAACCCTTTGTTTATGAGAGAGAAGTGCTAGATAGCTTTCTTCACAGTATTCCTAACACAGTGTAAATTATTCGTGGGGTGATGTTGGTGCGTTTGTTGTTAGGACATGAGGTTATCTCAACTGGAGCCTCCGGTTCTGGAGGAAGATGAGGAGTGGGGGTTGGGGGAGGGGGAGGAGGAGGAGGAGAGAGAGGAGGCCACCACACCCACCTCACCCACCGAGGGAGAGGGGAGAGAGGAGGGGGATGAAGGAGAAAGGGAAGGCAGCGAACGAGATGAGGAATTTGAACAAGCCTTTGGCAGTGGAGAGGAGGATGACTAACAAACATAGTTTCACTTTCATTCTCCTATTTTTCTCTCTGCACGTAATTCTCAAGTCACCAATTGGGGAAAAACACCATGTAGTCACACACACTTATTAAAAACATAATTATGGTTTGTTGAAAAGAGGCGAGAGTGTGTCAGTTGTACTCTCATCGTAAGTGACTGAGTTACTGATGGTGCGATAGTGAGTGATGCCTGTCTTGATCTTCCTCATGGTGACCCGAGAGAGGTAGTTAAGATGGCTGGTAAACTGGAAATACTGCTGCGACCACTTTGGACACATCAGCAGAACCATTACCAGATTTATCACAAGGTCAAAGGTCAGAACAGACACCCCGATGACTCGAGTTCTCTCCAGCGGGTTTAGCAGACTCGCTATTGTCACGAAAAAGGGGAGATAACACGAACCAGACGATGTAGAGTACGATGAGTGCCCGGTAGAGAATGAGTTTGAATCTCCTGTTCTCAATGAGATAGATCTGTCTCATCTCCCACATGATGTAGAGGAGTAGGACGAGACGGTATGCCAAATAGAGCCCGCCAGCCCAGGTCTGGTAGAAATCTATTGGCTGTGCTGAGAACGGAAACACCAGCTCCTGTACCTGTGACGGGAGAAAGAGGAGAACCCTTTCATTAGTAACATACAGGCAAACACAAAACATATTTGTGAACAGAACGATCCATTGCAAGCAGCTTAAAAGCTATTTCAGGCAAACTATATAGGCAGGCTTGCTTGTTAGCTAATGTGTGTACATATGAACTGCCACTCACAAAGATCCATGAAAAGAAGATGCCTGAGACGACAATATAGACAATCCACACGACCAGAGTGGTTTTCTTCCATCTGACAGTGGCAGTAGTGATCTGCCAGCCCTTCCCGAGGAGGATGAGGACTAGGATGAGTAGCCAGTCCGAGATGAAGTTGAGTCCTCGCCCCATGTAGAGGAGGGGACGCAGACCTACCCCGTCCTCAGAGAACACACAGTAGTGGGCCATGACAAGAAGAACATGGAACGTCTCGAGAGCCAGAGAGACTGTGAATATGAGTGTGAGTCTGTGGTGTTTGTAGTTTGCAGGGGTGCAAATACAGGAGTGCATGAGGAGGTGGAAGAAGAGGACGGTGAAGTAGATGCAGGAGAATATGATGTACAGGATCATCATCCCGATGAGGTTGTAGGAGAACTCGTAAGTGAAGGGGTTGGGGGGAAACGAGGGTCTGGTTCACAATGTGGACGTTAAAGTCTATGGCTACAGAGCCACTGGCGAACCATTCACATGGCTGACTCCCGTTGTTCTGGATGCAAGCTACCAGGAATAGATAGTAGTACTGGGTGGAGGGGGAGACGATGCGAAAGGTGAAGTTACTGCCGTGGACGAGCGGGATATTGTGCTGGTTCCTGCACGTCTCCTGGTGGTCGCACGGCACGACGCGGTACAGGTCCGCTGTGTCGTTCCCTTGACGGTAGCAACGGTCGTCCGACGATAGACTCCCGTTGAACGGAGCCATGAATCTTTGGCAGTCTCGGCGGTCGTCGCTCTCCAGATGGTAGAACTTGTCCCACGTAGAGGACGGGACGAACGCCAACACCAGCGTCTCGTCATAACCGTAATGACTGCTGCTGCTGGACTTGCGCAGCGACCCGCCGTAGGCGAACACCTGGTGACCTTTCTGGACGCCGAACTTGGTCAGATAGTTGAGTCTCGTCCCCTGATTGTAGCTCCAGCTACTGCGTATCCTGGTCGGCTGGACTGGAGGAGAGAGGGCCAGCACAGCAATCACGAACACGAGGAAAACGTTGTACGTTTCCATCATCTCTTTCCGACGACGAGCGGTGCGCTCCAAATGGAGAGTTGAGAAACAATCCTGGTCGCGTACCATTCCATTGTAATTGTGGGAATTGGTCTTTTTCAACTAACCAGCCCCACCCACCTCCTACACTGCCCACTCTAGAGCCCGCCCGACCACTCGGCAAGACAGAGATGACTTCGTGCGATGACTCAGTTCCTTGCGTTCACTTCAAATACAACGTCCTGCAGAACGCGTCCCTCTACGAAGATTGTCCGCAGTTCTGCAACGACTTCGAAAACGTGGAGTACGTCTACCTCGCGTTCAGTCTCCTCTCCGGGTTGAGCTGTCTCCTGGTGTTCCTCACTTACCTGGTGCTCCCTCGCCTCAGGCACGGAGGCCATTCATCCATCGTCTTCATATACAGGTGAGACAGAAGACGCATTCGCCAGGGAGACACCTGCAAATTAGTTAGCTATTTCTGAAGTTGCTTCTAAGTGAGCAGGGGTACAATGTCAACAACGCGGTTTGTGTATCTTATTTGGAAAAGGATACTGTTAGAACGACCCCCATTAGTTTTGCCACCAGGGAATACTTATTACTGTCCCACCACTACTGTCTCACTCCCTCCACCCACACACACACAGAACTGTCCTGGACCTACTGATATCTGTTGGTCATGTGGTGGCCATTGCAGCTGACCTGAAGAGACAGAATGACCCGGCCAGAGAATACACGTGCAGCGTTCTTGGAGGTTTCAACACATTTACCCTCATGGCCTCCAATATGTGGTACCTAGTACTGGCTGTGGATCTTGCCAAGGCCATCCGAAACCCATTCAAGTAGGGTGTGTTGTGACAAACAGAGTTTTGTTTCACTTTCGTTTCTCTTCACTCCGTCATTCACAAATATCAGGTCAGCCCCAACGTACGGAGCTCTAGCACACACATGTGTCTGGGGTGCTGCAGTCATCTCTACTGCCATCCCTGCCATCCAGCTTCAGGAGGGACTTGGTACGCCTGGCACTCAGAGCAATCCGTCCCTGCTTCGTGGCAACTTTTCCTACTACGTTCCAAAAGCGGTTTTTGATTACATTTGGGGATAAGGACTGTCTGTTTGCAGTACCAAAAGTATAAGTGTTGCTATAAACAAATGTGTCTTCATTCCTGTACACCCGCACCCCACTGCAGGTTTGTCCATCTTCAACTGGTGCTGGATATCAGTCGAAACGAAGCTGGAAAACTTCATTCTCCTCTCCCTCTTCCTGTACTACATCCCACACCTCCTAATATGGATATCGTCAACTGTCGTCCTCATCTTTGCCCTCTTCATCTTCTGGGGCGGGCGGTTTGCAGCCAGCAGCGAAACTCGCAAGTTTGTCATGAAACAAAACGTGGTCTACGTACTCGTTCTCGGCATGGAGACTGCACTAATCATCCCTCTTTGGGTCACCCAATTAATCTTCCTCAAGAGTGAGGGGCAGGACCTCGGAAACCGTCCGAGGTTCTACACAAATGCAGACGTGATTCTGGCTTTTATATTTGCCACCATTCACAGTCTGAGAGGGACCATCGACCTCATTGTGTGGTGGGTGACCTTTTCCATTGGGCCCAGCGACTTCAAGGGTCTCTACCAGCAAGTGAGAGCTCGTTTCAGGCCCAGATCGGAGGAGCTGACCCCCTCGTCCAGCATGCACACTCCACTCATACGGGCTGATACTGCAGTGAACAGAGCTCTGCGTCGCGACGCCATCTACTGCATCAACATTGGGATCCTGGACGCAGTCAAACTGAACGTGGACCAGCGAAGCAGGGACGGGAGACTCGGCTCTGTGAGGGAGCCGTTTGTGGCCCAGGCAATGATGAACTGGGAGGAACAAAACAGACACCAGGAAACCGAGGACAGACTCGCCGCTAATCCTTACTACCGTGAGCAGACTGAGAGGAAGATAACTTTCCCGCCTTCAGCCAGCATCCAGAAATTTGCCTTCCAGGACTTGGAGCCGACAGTCTTTGACCTCCTGAGACAAGCCTACGGTATCTCGTCCTCGGAGTATCGACAGTCGTTCAAGTTGAGGAATGCAGCCGACGTTGAGAGCAGTGGAATGCTGGAGAAGTTTACGGAGGGAAAGAGTGGGAGTTTCTTCTACTTCTCACACAACTTTCGCTACATCATCAAGACGGTAACGTCCGAGGAGGAAAAGTTCCTCCGCAAAATCGCCTATCACTACTACAAACACATGAAGAGGAACCCAAACTCGCTCATCGTCCGATTCTTTGGTCTGCACAAAGTCCGACTGGCCCCCGAGCAGCGGTATATTAGTGTGGTGGTCATGGAAAACATCTTTCACAACCGGCATCAACTGAAAATGAGCACCATTTACGATCTGAAAGGCTCTTCAGTTGGTCGGAGGTCCCTGAAGGGAGGCAGGACCAGGGCTACATATCACGGAACGCTCAAAGATCTTGATTTCGAGGGGAACGTGTGGATTGGAAGAGACGCCAAGACTCAGCTGATGGAGCAACTGGACCAAGATGTGAAGTTTCTCACAAAGTGTGGGATCATGGACTACTCCCTGCTACTGGGGACCCACAACCACGCGGGCTCTCGTCCAGCTCGATTCGAGTCAGAGAGTCTGGATTTTGGTGGCAGGGACACGATTGTGGATGTCACCCTGGGAGGCAGCGCGAGACCGTCTTTCTCGTCAATGGCCTCACCACATGGAACACTGGATGGCCGCAGTCGGCAGGCTACGGCGGTGACCTCATTCTCTGAGTCACGGGCGAAACCAGCTGAGCCGCATGTTCAGTGGTTCCGTCAAGACATGGGGGGGCTCCGCAGCTGTTCGCCCTTCCACCCGTGTATCTACGACCAGGAGCAGCGGGGAGGTGGCGAGCCCGAGGCCTCCATGTCGCAGTACCCAGGAACGGCAGCCCAGGATCTGCCAGTTGCCACCTACTTCTTTGGAGTGGTGGACATCCTCCAGGAGTACAACGTCCGGAAGAAGGCAGAGAACTTTTGGAAGACAAAGATTGCCTGTCAGGACAAAAGAGGGATTTCGGCTGTCAATCAACAGGAATATGGTGAAAGGTTCCTTAGAGCAATGGACAGAATTTTTCAATAACTGGTTATATATATAGTTTTTATAATAATACTGCATGTGTGCGTGTGATTACATTTTTGACGACATATATAACTATTTCCAGAATTTAAACCATGATTTTTTACTCGATGAAAGAATGGGAGATTGGTTGTCATTGGCAACAGGCTCCTCCCCCAGAAGTACAGCCTCCAGGCTTCGGTTGGTCTTGTTCCAAAAGGTCAGAGTTCGCCGATGAGTCGGACAGGGAGTAGTGATGTCACTCAGCCAGTCTTCCTCACTGAGACAGAGTAGCTCGGTGTAAGGAGGGACCATGGGAGAGTGTTGCTGGGCAAACCCTGTACACCTCCAGATGATATGTCCAGTCAGAGTCAGGACCAGGAGGAGCTCCGTACTGAACTGGAGTCCAACCACACTCAGCAGGTGACCTACAGCCAGCAGTTTCAGCTGCTCAAACTGCCCTCGCACTGGGAGTGTCACGTTACTCAATTCCTTCCATGACCACACCGCCCAGACGCGGAGCCGAGCCTGGAAGATCACGCCCATCAGCTGTCGGTCAGATGAGAGTACAAACTCCGTGTTAAGTCCTCCTGAATCATAGAGAGCAGAGTCCAGAGAGGAGGGGGGGGTGAGGTGGGGCTGGGGAGTGTGGGAGACGAGCCTCATACCAGTCCCCGTGGCAGAGAAGACGTGACTGGTTATGGTGTTGGCCCACTGGAGGAGCAGGAGGTGGGCGGGGCAAGACTCTCCGGGTGAGGGGGGTGGGGCATTGGAGAGAAGCCACACACCCCTCTTCCCATGCGGGACCCTCCGGCCGACGATGTTAGCGTTGTTGTGTTGGAGTCTGAACCGGGGGAGCTGTCTGAGAGGGGCGCACAGTTGCAGAAACTGCAGGTCCCAAAACGACTGCTCGCCCACCGAGTGGAAACTGACGAGTTTTGCCATTGCAATGAGGCCACACCTCTCGCAGGAGGAGAACCGAAGCTCAGTGTCGTAGAGAGGATCCCAAGTCATGCACAATGTGGGGGAAACAGGGCCTGGCGAAGACAGATCATACAGACTCCATCTTCCACTGGCTGTGGCGCACACGTACACCTGTGTCTCGAGCAGAGAGCCCCACACCACTCTGTGTTCAGATCCGCTGCTGAATGGCAGTCTCAGAGTGTGAGTGCGGGTGAGTGTCCCTCCCCGCACCCTCTCAACCACAATCTCTCTCGGCTGGAAGTCCCTGTAGAGGGTCCCAATGATGCAACCCTGTCTGGCATACTGGTGGGAGTACCGCACATCAAAAGGGTAGCCCCTGGTCAAATTGACTGTGGTGGGGGGCGGGGCTATTAGGGATAGCAGGTAGTTCTTTGTAGCCAAGAATAGTCCCCTGGATGTCTCATGCAGGGGGCTGAATTTTCGGACCATGACCTCCGACAGCCCGGCGTCGGTGCATGCGGCCCTCCAGTAAGGCTCCAGCTGGGAGAGACGGCCGAACCAGGCCCGACACACCAGGAGACAGCGGGTCACGTCCCCGGGAGAGAGAAAAAGGCACATTTGCAGTACCAGCTCCGCCGGGAGGAGGGAGAGAAAGTCAACGGTTGGACTGTCCTCTCTCTCACCGCACACTCCCTCCATCTCATCCGCCGGACGACCATCGACGACGCAACAGCGTTTGCAAGAATTTGCCTGCTGGAGAATTGGCGACCTTTGACCCCTGTACAGACCTGGTTAAAGGTCACGCTGCATGCGCATACCGCTAATAAGCACTGCGCATGCACGGGAACCAGCTGAGTCTAGAAATGCTGACGATGAGAGGAAGACGGTAACTGCAAGGAGGCTGCAGCACAATCGACTTGAAGGTGACGTTCTGTGTGTGTCTCCATGTGCGGAGCACTAATTGGCAGAGACAAATGAAGGGGCACCCCATTTACTCCATCCTCTCCTGTCTCCTTGGCAACCGCACAAGGAGATGGCTCCTGTCATTAGTTGCCATGGCGATAACACTCTCCATCATAAACGGCTATCTTCTGTACAAATCCCCACGTCAGACTGGAACTGAGACCACGGAGCAGAATGGAATGGGGACAGAGAGCAGTCACAAGTCCCCAACACTCTGGATCTATCACGACAAGGTACGGGGTCGAGTCGCGATGTACGAGGTAATGAATATCGTTGACCCCAGGATCGACCCCTGCACCATGTCATGACAGTCTTCAGTAGAGCAGGTTACGCTCTGGACGGAGGACCTGGAGGAGACTGGCACATTCTCTGGTCACACAAGTACCCGTTCAAGACCCTCTCTCCGTCTCTCGGGGCCAGCCTGAGGCCTCACCAAAGAATCAACCACTATCCTGGCACTGGCTGCTTTGTCAGTAAACCTTCTCTGGCCAGTCTTCCATTCTCCTACATCCCCAAGGCCTTCCGGCTCCCTCAACAGGCTCAGCAACTACGAGAAGAGGTAAACGTTGAATTTCTGATGCACAGCAAAGATGAACTAGAGCAAATTTTCATGATTTCAGGCCTTCATCTGTGAAGATTAGAAATTAAAAATTATTTTTGTAATCAGGAGGTGTAGGACTAGCTGTTGTGAGCTCATATCCTGCACACAAAGCCATAGTTGCACACATTCTCAGGGCTCAGCTCACCTGTGAGCTAGGTCTTCCATCACCTGTCTCCTTGTGGTGGTGATTGATGTGTGAATCTGTCTCACTTTCATCAGGCTGCAGCTCATCCGGAGAAGTTGTGGGTCCAGAAGAACAATCTCCACCGAGGAATCAAAGTGAAACCTATCGATAGTAGGTCCATGTGGTTTGACACACACACGTACACTGAGAAGTAGAGTTTTGTCGGCTATATTATGTGATCCTGTCCGTGGTGCAGAGGTGAGTTTTGCTGTGGATGGAAAGTTTGTTCAGGAGTTTATCACAAACCCTCTCCTCCTTGGCGGCAGGTTGGCAGTCACCGGGGTGTGTATAATTACAGTGGGAGTGGCCACCACCACACACTGTGTCTTTGTAGGAAGTTTGACATTGGTGTCTACACTGCCATCACCTCCATTGACCCTCTGAGAGTCTACATCTATCACGAGGAGCTACTGCTCAGGTCTTTAATCCTCCCTCTCTCCTGTTTGCCTCTGACCCTTTACTAGTCTCATGTATCTTGGACCTCTTGTCCAGGTTCTGTTCCAAGGACTATCGACCATTCAGAGCGTCAGATCCTAAGCAATATGTGGTGGACGATGAGTATACTCCAGTCTGGGAGGTTGGCCGCTTCAGCTGCTCCTCTCTTTGCCTCTTTCCCTCATGTTTCCCACTCCAACAGATCCCATCGCTGGCAGATCTCTACCAGAACCAGAAACTGAGCTGCAAGCAGACGCTGAACACGGCTCTCCAGACATTAGGTCAGCCTCTCTCTCTGCATCTGCCAGTCTGTCAGTGTGTGTGTGTGTGTGCGGCACAGGGCATGATCCCCGGAGAGTGTGGGACCAGGTGAACAGCATCACAACTGAGGTGAGGATGGAGAATGTTCCCATCTTTCTGTGTTATTCGTCCCCCCTGCCACTCTCCTCACAGGTTCTGCATCACTGCCACCCCAACCTGATAAAACAGACTAAGAAGTTCTCCAGCAGTCCCAGGTGTGTGTCTCACATGATTGTCATGTGATGTCATGTGATTCCAACCAAAACAGGCATTTCTTTGAATTGGTTCGTTTTGATTTTATCATCGACGATCAGCTGAAGGTGTGGCTTATGGAGGTAGGTCACATGACTTTCTAGTGTGATCACATGACCTCGCCTTCTCTCAGGTGAATTTATCACCAAACCTCTCTTCAGGGCACACTCTTGGCAACCGCTTCATGTATGAACAGGTAATGATGAGTATCATGTGACTTCGGCTGAGCATCATGTGACCTCAGGTGCTATTCAACCTGCTGTCACTGGTGGGAGCTGTAAGGAGAGGAGGTCCCGACATGCAGTACAAGTGAGTCGGTCCACAGTCTACTCATGGTGTCCCCTCATTCTCCTCTCTCCCCTGCCAGTGGGGAACATGAGAGTGTGGTGTTGGTCAGCGACAGGGACACCCAGCTACCTCTGCCTCAGTGTTGGAATGGCTCGTGTTCCTCGTGTTCTGCTGCACCTCCAGCAACGGTCAGTCCACTACATCACAATCTCAGCTGCCACATATACCAAGACGGCTTCCTTATTTCACTCGCATGCTTTGCCTCTGCCTTGCCCGACCCCTCTCTCCTCCAGTTCTGTCAGTTGTGCCCATCATGTCAGACTCCAGAGCTGTCTCTGGTGCTGAAGGAGGCGTTCCTGGAACACGTCGAGAGCAGGAACTTCCACCGACTGATCCCAGCCCTCTCCCTCCAGACCCCGCCCACTGCCACACCCACTGATCGCCTCATGCATGCATGGTTTGCCGGCAAATGCAAGGACAATGCAAGATGGTGCAACTGACTATCATTAGAAATCATACTAACCTCTAAAATGATGTGAGGCGGAACTGTAAAAGTTGCCATGTGCTTATGTCACTACAAAATGGCGAAGCTTTGCTGATAATGATTGTGCCATTTTTTACAACTGCAGTGACTACAGAAACACACACTCTATTATTACAATGTCTTAAAACTGTATGACTGCTGCAGAGTCAGAGATTACATATACATACATACATTAGCTGGCTCGACTGCTATTCACTCTTCTTCTTCCCTCCTCCTAGTGGCACATACGATAACACTCTGGAGAGGGAGGGATGAAGGGAGGGAATGGAGTAAAATGAGCTGTTAGAGGAAATGTAGCTGTAATTAAATTAAACTATAGGACCAGCATAATTATGTAAGAATGTTCTATTTTTAGGAGTATTTTCTAAATTTGGTCCTGACACTCTACCTCTTGGTGACAGCTCCTAGCTTGGAGAGGGCGGAGCCAAGGTGGGTGTCTATCTGAGACTGGAACTGATAGTACACTCGCGGGACAGTGAAGGCCACACCCACCACTAGTATGAGGAGTACAAGGGGAGGAGTGAGTGTGGAGGGGTGAAGAGGGGAGAGAGGGGAGGACTTACGGAGAAACATGGTGGAGAGGAGGGTCAAGTAGTTAGTGACGAAGGAAGCCATCCACAAACACACTCCAAACTGAAGGAAACAGAGAACACAGCAAGTTTCACCTTCAGTCTGACAGGCCGCGCTGCGTCACTCACGGCCAGGGAGTGTTTGATGTTGGCAAACAGGAGTAGTCTGACCAGGCAATTGATCTCAACCTCTGCTTTCCTGATAACGTAAGCCGCCCATTCCATCAGCTGTCAACAATACCCATATGAAAGTTTTCAATTGTGGGTCAACATGATAGGAGTATGAATCCAACGTACCACGTCCTCTGGTAGCGTGATATCATTCTCCAGATACGTACTGGGGAGAAAGAGAGTTGCTTACTACACACATGTTCATACACACACAGACATTGTTAACGAACAGCGAAGAAGGCGAGAGGTTCGCACACAAGAAACTTATCGCCGAAGACTTTAAAATTAACCCTTTGCTCACTGGAAGGGGTTCTTCACTTTCTTGTTGTAGAAAGAGTCGATGACGACCTTGGAGACGATGTAGGTGAGGGAGACGACCATGAAGGAGAGGAGGAGGAGGACATAGGTGTGGAGGACGGTGTTGAGGGTGAGGGTGAGAAGAACCACCAGACACACACCCAGCACCACCGCACTCAGCTTCAGCTCTCTCCAGTAGATGACATACAGGACTTGGAGAGAAAGGGGTATTTCTCAAATTACAGTAGAACCCCTCTTCAAGGACACCATGAAAGTTTCTATCCCGACTAACAGTTTCTTGCGCACAATAATTCACTTCCGTGTCTCTCATCGGTGCCCAGATTAGAGGGGCTCCACTATAGGAGTTGTCCTGATACAGGGGACCGACTAAAAGAATGGGGTCTCAGGTCTATATAGGACTAAACGTGACAAAGGCCTCGCTGTTTGACCCATCACCACACTGTACACCGTCAATGGGGGCCTCCTTTAGAGTGTGCTACATATATACAACAGAACTGTGGAGAGGCTACACTGAGAAAGCATTGTCGGCAACATCGTGTGTGTGTGTCCTAATTAGCACTAACGAACAGGGACTCACCCAGTGGATGGAGCACCTTTAGAAACTCCAGGTAGCCACTAGGCTTTGGTTTGCGACCTGCACACACAGCAATACTGACTAATCACTGGACCACGTATTAACGGTCCATTGCACAGGGAAAACTGACCTTTCTGTGGTGCAGTGGAGTGTGGGGGTTGGGGTGGGGTAACTTCCTCCACCCCATGAGACTCCTTTGGAGGTGGTGGGGGAGGAGTGGGGTCCTTTGGGGGAGGTGGGGGCGGAGTGGGATCTTTGGGAGGGGGTGGGGGAGGGGTGGGGTCACGCTCTGGAACAGACTCAGGTTCTGGAGGCGGAGGAGGGGTGGGGTCACGTACCGGAACAGGTTCAGGTTCCGGAGGAGGGGTGGGGTCTCTCTCAGGAACACTGGAGTCCTCAATTTCACTGAAGCCAAACGGATCAGCTGCTGACGAACTGGGAGCTTCATCAAATGGGTCGCCACCACCGAGGCCACTGTCACTACCACCGAGACCACTGCCAATACCATCGCCGCCACCAAGACCACTACCCACACCTTCACTGCTACCAAAGTCACCAAGAAGATCGTTGGTCGTGGCACTACCCCCTTCGAATGCAGAGGCAGTTTGGTCGTTTTGCGAACCACCCAATATTTCGTCAAAATTGTACTCTCCCGTGGCAACCAGTGGCTCAGGAGGCCCAGCAACCAGCAAATTCTCCTCTTCTCCCTCAGGGTGTGTGGAGCCACCTCCGAAATCGACGAGTTGTCCCACATAAGCTGCGTCAACCGGGGAGGGAGGTGGGGAGAGAGGCTGCAGAGAAACAGTCAAAGTGTTTACTAAGCTCTAACCTACATACACAGGAGAACATAATTATATCAACTAGCAAGAGTATGAGTATGGGAAGCAGAGGAGATGGCTTGTATGCACAGGCCAACTCCCGAGGGACCCACGGCCAACGAGCACTCCCACCTCCCCATGCCGAACAAGCCGAACAGCCGAACTGGGTGTGGCAGCCTTCTTCTCACCTTCTCCTCGTCTTCACTCTCCCCGGAGGCCCCGTCCCCGTCTCCGTACAGGTCCAGCTCCTCCTCGACGGCCGCCGGAACCTCTCGCTGCTGCTCCCAGCTCTGCGAGGCCATCTGGACGTCTTCCTGGGTCACCTCCACGAACCCTCCCTCCTCCGAACCGTCGTCTGAGTCAGCCGACTCGGGCCGCGTGTCCTCCTGCCCAGTCTCGTCCATGCTCAACCGTCAGACTTTTGCAAATCCAACGAAACTGCTGCCGTTCTGTGGCGATGAGAAATCGTGGGAAGCTGCTTCAGATTTTTCCCTGTGGCAGCGAAAGCGACGCCAAAATCGTCACTGACTACAGCACGTGTATTGTGATTACGTCATAGCTGTTCATCGCGAATAATGTGCGCATGCGTTGCTCAACGTGTGCGTGTGGTGCGACGATGCAGCGCCGTCCCCGAGCCGGAGAGACGGAGCAAGACCTCCTGGACTTCCAGGAGAAGTTTCTGGCCTCCCGTAAGACGGCCTCGGCCTCTCTAGTGGCGGAGACGGTCGGAGGCAAGCGGAAACAGCGGCCAGAACAGAGAGACGTTGTCTCACCAACAGGTATGCTGGTCCCAGAGAGAGGAACTGCTGAGTTCGTAATGGGATCTTCTGCAGATGGTCTCCTTCCAGCTAGAGATGATGAAGGTTCATCGGTAAAGAAGTCAAGGTTCAAGGAGCAGAAGAAAGATAAATCTGTAGGCCAGTGTTTTTTAATGTTGCCATTTACCTGAACCCCCATGTTGGGTCCTCTCTTACTCCCAGACGCCCTCACAAGTACTTTCCGATATACAAGACCGTGATGTCGTTGAGAGACTGGTAACCATGCCGACCTGGATGACAAGCAGGGGTTTCCCCTCTGTGCAGAGCCTGGACTCTGACTCACCCTCTCCTGCCGCCACTCACACGGGCAAGAAGAAGAGTTTGTTTGCCCTGCAGTGCGACTCCCACTCGCCAGAATTCTTTGGCATCAAATTCAAACCCACCAATCAGACGCAGCCGTTTGGTAGAGACAAAGTCCAACCTTTCGACATGAGCACTGAACCCGAAGCTCCGCCCACCACTAATGAGTCTACTCAATTTGCATCAACTGCTTCACACGCCTGGACAGGTCTGCTCGGCTCTGACTCCGCCCCTTGCCCCACCTTCTCTTCTCCCTCCCTGATATCAGGGGAGGGTCTGGTGGGGTCAGAGGTCAATTGTGAGACAGCTGCTGAAGAGGTGAAGAAGATACATGTGGAGAATGTGGAGCGACTACGAGAGGTGTCTGAGGCTGAGTTGAGGGCAGAGAGACAGCGAGTGGAACGGGCATTGGGACCTGAACTTGTGGCCTTTCTCAAAACGAGGAGCATGAGAAGGGAAAGAGGAGAGGGGGTTGGAGAAGGTATGGAGACAGGAGAGGGAGAAGAGGGAGGCAGAGGAGAAGAAGAGAGGAGAGGCGGGGGTTCTGGCCACTGCTACGTGGGTTCACATGGACCAGGTACAGAGAGACAGAATGGAGTGGATGACAGACGTTCTCCCCACAGACCTCAAGGTGTGTATGACATACCGTGGGGATTGAGTCTACATTTTTACCAAAGAATGTGGGTAAAAAACAGGCCATGAACACTTGACATTAGCTGTAGGATACAGTGACCCCAGAGTTGTTGGTTTTTATGACTTTTCCTTCTCTCTCTTTCTCTTGATGGCAGGAAGGAGGCCCAGTGAGGTTCAGTATGGAAGGCCTGATCATCCCACGCGGCACCTCCCTCCCCTCACACTCCGCACTCTATCACCATGGCGACGAGCCAGCCGTGAGTTCACCACACCCACCAATCAGTGAAGTAATGTTTTTCTCCCTGCAGGCAGCTGGCTACTCTCTGAACGAGCTGCTGTCTCTAGTGAGGAGTTCCGTCTCTCAACAGAGGATCTGGAGTCTCTCCACGTTAGCCAAGATACTGGAGAAGGTGGCTGCTCAAGTGTGTGTGTGTGTGAGTAGGTTGAGAGAGAAATGTGAGAGAGACTGTGTTGAGAAAAACTGGTGTGGCGTAGTGTTCTGGTGCTCCAAGCAGCTGTTACTTCATTCTATGATCACCGCATACACGTACTAAGATGTTAGAGCAAAAGGCTAAGTGGATGTTTGTTGCCATTGATTGCCTGGCAGGCGTGGAGAGGGGGCTACAGAGGAGCTGTGTCTCACGGAGTCCTGGGAGCTCTGTGTGGAGCTGGCCTGCCTCTACTGCTGAGACACTCTGTGGACGACAGCTCCTCGTCTGTCGTATCTGCCGCCATCGCTGCCCTCCACAGTCTCCTGGTCCCTACCTGGGAAGAAGTGAGGGGATGACTGTCATACTGTCATACTGTCATACTTTATCAAGCAAGTAGGGGGAAGGACAGGCCAGTGCAGTGAAAATGATGTCTTACCAACTTTCTGAACTCTTTCTCTCTTTACCTGATAGAGGCTCCTGAGTGAGATGTGTGGCTGTCATCGTGGAACCAGTTTGCCTTTCACGGGCACTGGGCAAGGGAGCAGGGAAGGGGGGAGGAGAGGAAGGAGGGAGGGGACAGGGAGAAGAGGAAGACTCTGAGGTCATGGACAGAGACGTCGTACTGGTGAGCAGCACCTACTCTTAGAATGTTTTGTTTTCTGCCTCTGAAACATGGCATACAGTATGTTCCATATCCACTATATGTACTAATTCCCATGTATTTGTCTGTTGCCAGGGTTACCTGGCAACAGGTCTGCTGCAAAGACTCCGATACATCCTGGAGGTGGTGAGACCGCGCCCACCTGAGGTCCTGCAGACTCTGCAGGTCATCACCAGAATGGCCAGACACTCCCTCCATGCCGCCGCCCAGGTCAGCTGACCACTCCCACTCGGTGGGCGGAGTCAGTGGACGTGGTCTGTGTGGTTCTACAGGTTGTAGAGTGTCCGAGACTAATGTCCACCATATTCTCAGAGTTCCTGCCTCTAGTGTGGAGTCCAGCTGAAGGTTAGCCTGCACCCCTCTCTCCTTCTATCTATCTGTGTGTGGTGTACAGACGGTGGGTCTAGTTTGAGCCATGGAACCCCCCAGCCAGCTGCTATGAGACTGATGCAAGTCCTGGTCTCTGCCAGTAGGAACCTCGCCTCACTCCTGGTGAGCCAACGTCTCTCTCTCCTCCCCCTCTCTCCCCAAACTCCCCAATCTCCCAGCTCACTCGTCACGGTCTCCTGGAGGTCATAGTTCGCTACACAGTGCCCCACCCCTCCGAACTCTCCCTCCCTGCAAACTCCGCCCACTTCCTCTCGGTTGCTGCACTGCAAACCGGTCGAGCTCTCCTACAGTATGGCTTCGCGTCTTCCTGGATTAGGTTTGTTGTTTTTTCCCTATCCTTCATATTTTGATGTTCTTCCTTCGTGTATCTTTTTCCTCTCCAGTGACTGTTACCAAGTCCTGTCCCGCCATTTTTTCTCACTGGCGTCTCTCTCCGTCACTTCCCTCTCTCTGCACACTGCGGTTCACCTGTCCGCCATGGTCTCTCTGTTGGAGCCAGCCCTCTCCCTCCTCCCCTTCTCCCTCGTCTCATCCCTCCTCCCTCCCCTCCTCTCCGGACTGGCCCGCTGGGTGAGAGAGGCAGATGACGAGCAAGAGGCAGTGACAGAGAGACTGGGTTGTGTCTGAGATCTTCCCTCCACGTCGCTGCATCTTACCTCGCCTCCTCTTCCACTTCTGAGGTAAGTAGACCACTGAACCATGCCCACTATCGCTAAATCTATTTTCGTTAACGCACATTCATGTATGCTCTTTCTGTGCGGTGAAGTATATTAGTTTGACACTGACAAAAAACCAGCGATGCAGTAGTTTTACAACATGACTGTTTTCAGAGTGACGTGGTGGGTGTTTTGGAGGTGGCTGCCTCTCTCTCTTCTCCATCTGGACTCATCCAGTCTCTCTCACACTCTCCTCTTCTCCGCGCAGCTCTCTCTGGCCTCAGGTGAGTGGGGGAGAGGTGGGTGTGTTGGTTACTGCAGTCGTCTCTGTGCAGGAAGACCTCTCCTCTGTGTTGCCTTCCTCTCTCCTCCTCCTCCTCCTCTCCCCCCTCCTCCCTTCCCCACCTTCACCCCTCCCTCCCTCTTCCTCCACACCCTGCAATATACGGAGGGCACTATGACGACGACGTGAAGACACTTCTTCACCCACACTTTGTCTACATCTCTTCCACCGACTTCTTACTCAGCTATCTTCGTCTGTGCCTCGCTGTTGGCTCCGCCCACAAGGGTGTGGTCTCCAGGGTAAGCTGAACTCTCTCGACGTTGCTTGCTTAAAAACTTGATGAGTAAAAGCTCTTATAATCTCAAAAGTTTTGACTGTGTGTTGCCAGGTGTCTGAGTTGTTGAGTAATCCTCAGTTCAGAGAGTATGTGGCACTCATCTGCAACTCTTCCCCAGTGAAGGTCAGGTCACATGATGTCATGTGATCTCCATGTGACATCACATGTTCCCATCGTAGTATCCGTGTACCATATTTGGAGAGTTTCAGTTGCTCCACACGACTGTCCGGCTCTTTATGATGAAGGTTTGGGATCATGTGATCATCACGTGACTGTCACATGATCCAGCAGGTAGCTGGAGGTGTAAGTCGGGAGGACGTTTTGCTGTATCACACGCTGTGTCTCCGCCTCGTCTGTCTCCTCCCACCTGGCATGGAGTGTGTCGTGAATGACCTCATCTCCTCCGCTGTCTTCCATCCTTCACTCCTACCGTGAGACCTACTATAGTACTGTACTCAGTGGAACCCCTCCAATTCAGACGACAAATGGGACAGAAGAAACTTTTCCGTATTAGATGGGGACACATAGGTACAGCGAGATAGGGAGTAAGGCGAAAGGGTGCTCTTCCATAACCCAACTTTCATAGTAGATTCACGAGAATGTTCCTCCTGCAGGGAGCTGGACGGACTCCCCGAGTCACTTCTCACCGAGGACCTCTCTTCACTCTCCTTGATACACCCTCCCCAACCTCTCCCCTCCCCCCTCCTCGCTGGCCACACCCCCCTCAGCTCTCTGCTGGCGGAGACACGAGACCGTCTCCCCTCCATCTCCTCCACCATTCTCACCTCTCTCTCTGCTTCCTTCTTCACCCAGCACGCACTAGACTGCTCCAGGTCTGTCAGCAATGTCAATGGTGTATACTTCAATTCGCACCACACACTATTTGGTGCATAGTTTGGTGAACGAAGCCACTGCTGAAACCACTAATTTTTTACTCACATCCGCTCGCCATTAATGCATTCCATTCACTCTCTTTATTAGCCTAGCTCTATATTAATTGTTTGCTCTTTTCCCTAGACATCTGTTCTACTCTCCATCTCACTCTCCCTCTCTCCCTTCCCTCTGCTGCCCGCCTTACTCCGCCCCTCTCCTGCCAGCTGATTGGTTCGCTCTCCCCCTCGTCTCGCTCTATCAACACTCGTTGTCAAGGTAACATGGACACCTGATGATGTCGTAATTATGTAATCAATTCTGTAGGTCATGTGATCCGGGGTCGGAGGTCATAGTGACTGTCAGAAACACTCTCAGTGTGCAGCTGTTGTTGGAGAAGTTGAGGCCGACTTCTCTCTCCCACCTCCCTCCCTCCACTCGTCTCTCTCCTACCCTCCTCACCTTCCTCATCGGTGTGTCAAATTACCCCCTCCCTCACTCGCTCGATCACACTACCACTATTTCTCCCTTCCCCTGCAGGTAACGATCTGTTCCTGGAGAGAGAGATCCACCCTCTCCTCTCTAACCTCCTCATCTCTGTCTTCTGTTCCCAGACCTTCCAACAGACCCTAGACCTCTCGCTCCCTGTCCCTGGCCTTCCCTCCTTCACCGACCTGTGAGTATATATACTCCTTCTCTTCTTCTCTTTTGGATAATCATTGTATGGTTTTTGCTGTATTAAGCAAAGAAAATGATACTCAGTTGAAAAGGTTTTCTTAGCGAAACTTGTATTTGGTATTCAGACAGCTAGTTTATCATTCCCCATTTCCTGCTGTTTTACCAATGTTCTGGTAATGGTGGACACACACTCTCTCTCCCTCACACAGCTACGAGTGTCTGCTGACGCAGTATGCAGCTGTCTCCTACGGAGACCCTCTCTTCACGACCTACCTCCTCTTGCCTCTCCAGAGAAGGTTCCCCGTGGCCCTGCGCCGCTCCGTATGGGGCCAGGCCAGCCACACCCTCCGCCTCCTCTCTCTCCCTCTTGACCAGGTGTGCACACACACACACACACTACCTTCTCTTCAACAACATGTGTATTTTGTTTCAGTTGCCAGTGAAAGTTGATTTTTTCCTGTCACCCCCGGAGACGGATCGCCATATGTTAGATCTGTACATGGGAGCATTGTCCACAGGCTCTGTCCGGTAAACCACGCCCACCTCTGATGATAATCTTATAATGAGAAATATATGCGTCCATTAAATTCTGCAAATATGCCCAAAATAGACCATAACAAATGACTGATGCATTGTTAGATACACTTATGTATATAACTGTAATAAAATATTTTTGCCACAGTTATAATTTTAAATTTGCCTATCAAATTGTCAAATTTAGGTCACAATGGAGTCCCTTGATGTATTTGACAGCTGTACATCACGTTCACCACTTTCTCTTCCCAAAGACAGCGGAGGAGGTGAGGGGAAGTCGATGAGTTAGTGAGTCTCTCTCCATCTTCTCTAGACTGGACCTGAGGATTGCGTGTTTCGTGAAAAGCTCTTGCTGGTTGTGCAGCGCATGAACAACAAAGTAACGTCACTTTATTGGTGACTACATGTTATTGTCTGACTTGTTCTAATGCACAGGTGACCAGGGGACATATATTGTACTATGCTGGACCCTCTGGAGAGAGTGGCCTTGGTTTCAAGATACCATCAGACCAACAGAATAGCTAGCAATGACTTTCCACTCCTTCCGTTTTTTTGCCGTCGTTTTTTTTGAGAATGAATTATTAATCTTTCTCGGGCCGCCCACACAGTCACACACCCACACGGGGCCGAGCGCTCGATCGCTCACCGGCGGCTGCCCAGTTTAGTCACAATACCAACCGAGGTCTGGGGAGGAGAGATGAGGCTGTGGTGGCGAGTGAAGCTCAAGTCAGTGTTGCTGCTGGCGATGGTCGCGGCGTGTCTTGCCGCGCTCTCTTTCCTGCAGCAGCCGGCGGGAAGCCCCAGTTCTGCAGTGAGTGGAGGAGCTAGCAATTACCGTAGTGTACACACACTGTTGGCAGCGCGCCCGAACTCTTCAGCTGCTCTCCGCCGGCCTTTTGGCGCGCCTTTTCCATCTTGAGAGACCTAACTCGCTCCCTCTGGCGGGTGTTTTTTCCCGCGGAAAGAAAGTGTGCCGCTGTTTACGTTCGTGTGTGTGTTGTGTGTGCGGTGATGATGATCGGTAATCGTAGAAGTAGCGGCTCTTTTCTGAGCATTCACAGTGGAATATCGGGTTAGCCTGGAGCCGCAGCTGTCCCGCCGCCGTCCGCTCCACGACACGTGTTGGCCAGGGAGAGTGGGGAAAGATGGGGCGGTGGTAAACTAGCCACGCCTTCCTTTGTTCCTTTCACCTCTAAACAGTGGAACTCATTATTGACTCATAATAAGAGAAGTCTTAGGAGTGCAGTTGCATCTGCCCGTGTCCGTTACAACTAGTGGTCAATTCTGTGCTGATAGGGACAGCTGCCTGCCTACACCCTAGCTGCATTAAAACCACTAATTCCCTTCTAATACATACATGTTCCTGAAGCCAGAGCCTGTTCATTGCTGACAAATTTCATGTATAAGTGTAAATTGTGGCTTTTATATCCTTGAACGTATTGCTGTATGGATGGGCCTATGGATACCTTTGTTACTGATAATTTTGCCAATGTCTTGGTCAATAAAGAAGTTACTGGTGGATGGAGGCCTATGCTGTGTATAGTTTTGCTCAGTGTAGTATGGTCAAAACACCTGCTGATATTGCAACAATAGTGTAGGAATGACCATTAGGAATGACCATTAGGAATGACCATTAGGGACACGAGATATTTCAGCGAGTGACATAAGTATGTTAGGAATTGAATGGTGCCAGACTCCCACAATATCTGTCCCGCCTGGTTGAACCAACCATCCAGCCTGGTTGAACCAGCCATCCAGCTTCTCTAGTAGCTAACAAGTGCCCTAATGTGTGTGTTCTTATAACAAGTAATCCCAATGTACCTTGTCCTAGTATATAGTAGTCCTAATGTGTGCGTCCTGATTAGTAAGACAGCTGTGCAGCTATGCAGGCAGACAATGGAGTAGCCATAATGGTCGTAGTGCTGGTCCTCCTAATGGAGAGATGTGTTGGCAGAATGGGGCTAACAAATGCTGAGGTCTGGCTCTGCGGTGGAAGATGCCAGGCAGGGCAATAGCAGCTGTCATAGTACAATACAATAACTGAATGAGGCACATCTGCAGCTAATGTAGTAATAATGCCTTTTGCTACTGGTTTTAATAGTGTAGTCATAGTTGCATAATTGATTGGTGTATGGTATGCCTATTGGAGTGTGTCCCTTGCTAAATAGACCACCACCTTATAAAGTGGTTTTATGCCGTCCTCTAAACATGACATTTGTAGGACTGCCCTCCATGTTTGTGTTAGAGGCATGCTGTATTGTGTGTGTTATGTTTGTGAGGTTGGTAAACTTGGTAACTGTGTGATTATGTGTGTGTAGGGAGAGGGAGGTCTGAGCAGGGGGGCCAGAGGAGGTGCGGTGGAGAGAGAGAAAGAACTCGAGGCCTTCTTGGTGGAACTGGAGTCGCATCACAAGGAGGAGGAGAAGGAGAGGGAAGAGGGACGGGTGGTGCCACGCAAGGCACTAGAACTGCAAGACGGAAACTTTCCAAGTCAGAGAGACGATGGAGAGCAAGAGGTGGAGAGGGAGGTAGAGGATAAGGTGTCAGTGATGACGAGAAAGGAAGGAGTGGAGGAGAGGGTGAGGGAGGTGAGGAAGGAGCAGGAGAGAAGATATCCAATCGGGAGAAAGGGGAGAGATGAGAACAGAGTGGTGGAGCCAGGTGGCGTCAAGGAGGAGGCGGTACAGAGAGAGCAGAACCAGCGAAGGCTCTTCTCACAGAGACCCAACAATGGCCGACTGCGGGACCAAGACAGAGGGAGGGTCAGACGAGCCCCGCTCAGTAACGAGGAGGGGTTTCCCCATTTCCCGGTTGACCTGGGGACCTTTGACCCCGAGGCCTACCTCGGTGGGCAGCTGCTGGAAGAGGGGGAAAACGAGATGAAGAAATTTCAGTTCAACCAGCGAAGAAGCCAGGAAACGCCCTACGATAGAGAACTGAAAGACGTCAGAAACCCTAGGTACAGGTTTATGAACAACTTGATAATTGTAGACTTTTCTCTCTTTCTCTCTCTCTCTCTCCATTCAGTTGTGCCAGCTCCAAGGAAGACTACGCGAGCGATCTTCCTGCAATCAGTGTCATCATCTGTTTTCATAACGAGGCTCGCTCCGCTCTTCTCCGCACCATCTACAGGTACACACCAGGTTCTGTAATTAAGACCCATTTCAGGGGTTCTAACCCACTCCACTGACTATATGTAACTCTTAAGGTGCTGGAAGATGTGAAAATGCTGATAATGCTGATAATGGAGTTACAGTGGTGTAGATTTGGTTTTTCCTCTCTGCCATTTTAGCCTCAGCTGGCTGGGTCACTTGGCTACAGGTCATGGTTTGGCTGATCGTGGCCATTAGTGTGGTACAGGTCCCTCGTGCGGTCCCGGGGCTAACAAGGTTTTGTGTAGCTAACTGAGTTAGAGTAATTCCCTGGAATGTGTTGGCTGGCGATGAGTGACGTGGGGGCAGTAGGGAGGGACGGAGGCTCTATTGGGTTCAGTCAATTTGTGGAGCAATTTGTAGTCGATGCAGACTAGGAGGAGGGGAGGTGTGTGTATACTGTAGTGGGTATATGGCAGTCAGCTACTGCCCTTCTTCTGTGGCCGCAAGTGGCCTGTTTGTAACAGCACTCTCTGTCTTTCTTCTCTCCCCACTCCCCACTCCCTTCTCCATCCCACTGCCTTGTTCCCCTCCCTCCCCTAGTGTCCTCCAGAGAAGCCCACCTGAGTTAATATCTGAATTAGTTCTCGTGGACGACTTCAGCGACAATCGTATGTCCCCCCCTCACGTGACCTCTGACCCCACACAAGAGATCTCGTCTCCCCGCAGCTGAAGATGGGCAGCTGCTTGCCGCCATTCCGAAGCTCCGGCTGATGAGGATGGAGGAGAGAAGCGGACTAATGCGGGCCAGGGTGAAGGGGGCGGAGCTAGCGGAGGGGCCAGTACTCACGTTCCTGGACAGTCACTGCGAGGTGACGACTGGTTGGCTCCAACCTCTCCTCTCTCGGATAAAGACAGTGAGTCCCTTTCTCTCTCTCTCTCTCTCTCTCTCTCTCTCTATCTGATCTGATCTGATTGCCCCGCCCACCTCGCCCAGAACCACACCCACGTGGTGTCGCCCATCATTGACATCATCAACAAGGAGTCCATGCAGTACACCAGTGCCAGTCCCCTCGTCAAGGGAGGTTCGTGTACTTGGTGTATACTTTTAGTGAACGGCTCGAATGTTATGGTGTGCAGGTTTTGGTAACAATCTTCATTTCCGGTGGGACCAAATGTCGCAGAGAGAGGTGCAGACACGAGCCAGAATAATAGACCCCATCAGGTGACCTCTTTCACCTCGTCTCCCTCGCTACTCACTGACTCACTTTACTCTCTCTCTCTCTCTCTCTCTCTCTCTCTCTCTCTCTCTTACACACACACACACACACTCCCTGCCTGCAGAACGCCAGCCATTGCAGGTGGCCTGTTTGCAGTCTACAAAGACTGGTTCACAGAACTCGGAATGTATGACACACAGATGGAGATATGGGGAGGAGAAAACATAGGTATTTAACAACATGTTGATGGATAAATCTTTTCTGAATTATTGTTTGTGCAAGAAACCTTGAAAATTCTCCCCCATCTTTGATACGTGGGTGGTGTTCTCCCAAGTGAAGCAGTTCATATCTCTGTGTGTGTGTCTGTTGCAGAGCTGTCACTGAGGGTGTGGATGTGTGGAGGAGTTCTAGAGATAATTCCTTGTTCCCGCGTTGGACACATCTTCAGGTCTGCCATGCCCTACTCCTTTGGACCGGGAGGCACCTACCACAACACTGTGGCCAAGTTAGTTCTCTCCCCCCATTTCAACTTTTACTTCTGATAATTTTAATGGTGGCAGTTTAACGCTCGCTGCCTCTCTTTTTTTATCGAAACCTTTTTAAGAGGCTTGGTTTGTGTCTGTGTGCACAGAAACATACGAAGAACAGTTGAAGTGTGGCTGGATGAGTACAAGCCTTTCTTCTATGAGCGAAACCCTTTCTCTAATAAAGTGGAATATGGCGAGTGAGTCAGCCACTATTGTCCTCTGCTCCCCCTCACCACCTCCCCCTCCTCCTCCCCCTCTCCTCCTCAAGTATATCAGAGAGGCTGGCTCTAAGAGGCAGACTCCAGTGTAAGCCATTCAGTTGGTACATCAAGAAGATCTACCCTCTCTTTGAGTAAGTTCCCCTCATCCACACACCTTATGGTTTTACTGCTATCACGTGCAAGAGTACGGCATGAAAACTAAACACCTCACGAATGACATAAAGGACTGCATTAGGGCTTTAACATTAGGGACTTACAAAGTGTGGAGCAATATTGGGACTGTTATCATTTCTCCCCTCCTCCCTCTCTCTCCTCTCTCTCCTCTCCCTCCTCATCCTCTCCCTCCTTCTCACCTCAGTCCTCCACCAATACAAGACTTCACCTACGGCCACCTCCGACACGGGGAGGTGTGTCTCGACAGTCTCGGCCGCGTCTCCATGCAACCTCCTGAACTGAGGCCTTGCGATCCCGACAAGGCTCGCGTCGCAGGAACTCAGGTTGGTCACGTGATGTTCATGTGGTAATAGTCACGTGGTGATCACATGATCCCTGCACACAGGGCTGGGCGGTGACAACGCAACACGAGATAAAGGCCCATCCTCTCTGCCTCACTCATGACTCGGGGAGACTGTTCATGACCTCGTGCAACGGAGGAACAAAGCAACTGTTCCATCTCCATGACAACGGCCTGATCCAGCATGGACCCACTAACAAATGCCTCGGGGTCAAAGGTCCCCAGCTGCGCCTTGACCCCTGTGATGTCACAAGCTCTGCCCAAGTCTGGGAGTTTGTCGTGGCCACACCCACCAATGAAAACCAGGACTCTGTTTATCTAATTCCTAATTAGGAAGCTATGATCCCAACTTCCCATAGCTCTGTTTCCGTGACAACCAAACATACTACCCTCTTCTCCCAAAAATTAATGGACCAACCGACAGACTTATCACCATAATTACATCATTACGACATCATCACTTTTTGCATTTGGTGGATAAATATGCACACTAGTTTCTGTAATAGCAATGGATGACTTTGTTTCACTGGCAGGAGATGCGTCCATGACTGACTAGGTAGTTGAAGATCTTTCTCGTCTTGTTAACGTCGATTTTGAGCAGTCGCCGGGCATCGGCAAGGCGGAGCTGTCCGTACCTCTGCCCCTCGCCCTCCAGTTGGGCCATGTAGCCGAGGAGAGCCTCTGGGTGGAGCCGACATGTCTGGCACAGCTCTCTCTCCTCGGCCGAGAGTCGCTCCACTCCGGAGAGCCGTGATATGTCCTGACTTCCCACTGCCTTCTCCCTCACTACACACATCACACAGAGAGCCTTGAGAAACTGAACACTGTCAACAATACACACATACCTGTAGCCTTCTCCCTATATTATAATACAGAGGAAAGGGGAATATAATGGTGTAAAAGTGAAGCAAGGATTTTACTCACTCTGGCTTGCGGAGCACCAGTTGTGAGAACAAGGACTCCTGTGCAATACGGGAGTTGAGGCTCCACCCACTCAATTAGATTAAGCTCCGCTCCCTACCTCAGGTGTGCAGGCATTCTTGAGGGCATCTCCATGTTGCTGTCTCTGGTGCCTCCTCCTCCTCCTCAGCTCCTCACACAGCTCCGCTCCTGGTCATGTGACAGTCACATGACCCACTGAGGGTAATCACATGACTGACCTTGTCTGGTGGTTATTCCGTTCTCACGGTAAGTCTTCAGCTGTCTCATGTCTTCCTTTAATTCTTCTTCCACTGAAATAAAAGTCATTATAGACGGAAGAGGGGGGAGGGGCTTACAGTAAAGACTCTGAAGAAGGGTGAAGGCAGTCTGAGGAGGCATAAACCTCATGAAGGGACGCAGCAGTCTCTTTATTGCCCTGTGCAGAGAGCGGGGAGAGAGAGGAGCTGGTAAGAAGAAGCGAGATCACTCACAGTTGGTTTCTGGTGAGTCTGATCTTGTCTGTCGCCATCTGCTTGCGGAGGTCAATAAGACCGTACTCCCTCACCACCCTGTACACACATACACGCAGTGAGCCATCAACTAGCTGGCTGTCCAATCCATGGATGGGGCAAACCATTTTCTGAACGCTCTCTCCTTCACTTTGGCCCAGTATATTCGCACAGCTGCCAACTTCAGAGCTGAGTTGACAGAGAGTGGAAAATATTCGCGGCTCAGTTGAAAATGAGAATATCGCAAAGAAATCTTTCATCGATTGTTTTCTGTTCTCACTACACAGTTTACTTTTATGGCTGGCTCATAAACACTGAAATTTGCAAAATTTTCTTTCTCCGCTCACTGCATGTCTCTTTCCAAAGATGTCTACAACTGAATACACCTGACCTGTCATGAGATCATCTCCATCCTCGTTGTCTGCATCACACTCTAGATCTGATATCAACCACTCGGCACTGTTCAGAGGCTCCTACACGTGTCAGCCATCCAACACACACAAACAATATACAGGAGAAGGGGGTCAAATTCACAAAGACACCCATGCTCTACCGCATCAAATACAAAATTGTGGGGATTAGACCTCAAAACAATGTCTTACCACTGCAAAGTCTCCTCTGTGCGGCATATAGCAGCCAATCTCTACACCCCAGTAGTAAGGGGGGACTGGGTCTTCGCCCCTGTTATTAACACTGCTGATTAGTTCGGATTGCGACGGCTGTGGTGTGGCCAGTGGATGGAGGACTGAAGAGAGACATCAGAGGCTATTGCTCCCTCCCTCCCTCCCTCTCTCACTGACCTGGGAGCTGGGGATGGGGCTGGTCCAGATAGACCCGGTTGTAGTGACCTCTGCACTCTGTGAGAAGACAAAGAGCAAGTAACACTTCACTGGAAGTAGACCTCACCTTCAGCTGGTCTACCCATCTTTTCTGACACCGAGGACCTGTTGAACCAGGGAGGGGTAACACCACCAATCGACTTGACAACCGTTTGTATTAGCGCCGGGTCCAAACGACTCACCAGTTCCCGTAGCCGAACTCGTCCACCGTATCCAGCAGCTGCAGCTCTTCCCTCCCCGTCCAGTCCTCACAGAACAAACCCTCATCCTCCGCCGAACGACCTCCACTCGCCATTGCTGACCTTTGAACTTCGACACGTGGGCTCCCACAGTGCGCTCTAATTAGATGTCGACGGGTGTTGTCCTGAAGACGGGCGGCCTTCTACGGCGCTCCATTCCCGGCCAGGTGCTGGGGAGTCCCTCGGTACTGGCTAGAGGGAAGAAGCAGCAGGCGGCAAAGGCCAAGACCGCCAAGCGAGAGGTGATGAAAGAGTACGTGCGACAGATGGAACTGAAGCAGGTCACGGAAGAAGCTGCCATGCGTGCGGCACGACACGGGGAACCGATGGACCCCGAGATGTTGAACCCGGCCAGGAAGAGGGCTCCCGTGGAGGTCTCTCCCGAGGAGCAGGAGCGCCGCTACCTGCTGGTGAAGGAATACTCTCGCTACCACATGGAGCGCCACAAGAGAGAGCTAGGTCTTCTGCAGGGGGTGATGGCCGCCAGGCGACGCGCACTGCTCGAGCTGCGGAAGATCTCTCTCCCGCTGTACGGCCAGGCCCTGGAACTGTCCCAAGACCTGTTCCCATTCTCCCATTCCGGACCCACGACCACGCCCCCAATTCCCGGGTACATTCCACCTGACCTGGACGAGTGACCCTTTACCCCTGCCTTCAACGTCACTTATTGCCTTTACTCTCTCATCGTTTTATTCTCCGAAACATAGTTTTGTTCAACTTCAGTCGCATGTTCTACAAAAATAAAGGTATAAAAATTGAGAAACAAAAAATTTAGGCAAGTCTACAGATGTTCATAAACTGAGGAATGTCCTTAACGGGCAGTCGAGCAGCGTGCGCTTTGACCCTCAAGTTCCTGTCGTCGGTGAGAAGGACGACTATGTGGGGGGCAGAGGAGGAGGGAGAGAGCTTGCGATGATGGAGGCTAAGAGTCGACTCAAGAATGAGGTCATCATTTGAGGCCTGTGACAATGACACAATGACCACTGACATTAATTTTGCCGTCCACAAAGTTTGGCAAAAGTGAAAGCTTCTTTGGCAGTTGTGGTGTATGTGAAAACGGTAACCTTGTTGGTGAGTTCAGCAGTGAAGGATAGGGACTGGAGCAGACTCCCTCGGGTGGTGAGGACCTGGAGACTTGGTCCCATGGCCTCTCGAATGTAGCTCACCGCCTCTCTGGAGAGGAGAGATGGGAGAGGAGGTGGAACAGGCAGAACTCAGAGGCCGAAACTTACTTTGCTCCGTCCATCACTTTCTTCCCTCTACTTTATCTCCTTCCTTTGGCTTCTCTTCCATTGTCCCCTTACTGAGTCCCTCCAGTTCCGTTACAACTGTTGGATGGAGTAACTTTCTTTCCTCCACCTCCACCTCATTCTCTAATCCAACTCACCAATAAGAGGCACGGCCAGAACAAAGTGTCCACACTCCACGAGTGCCCTGATGCTTCCCAGCTGGTCCACAAAGCCGTTGGTGTCGGGGACGAGAAAGCGAGCACACACCACAGTCTCTCTCTCCCCCACAGCCACTGCCTCCTGTAGCACCGTCTGCACACGGGAGGGAGGAACCATCGGGTTAAAATGAACAAACATGACAACAACTATTGGTCCCCAGTTTACAGAGACAAAGCCCTTCCTCCCCAAAAACCATTGCACTTTACAGCTATATTCAGGATGGTTGGTTTGCCTATCTCTTCCCCCCACCTGCTCGCTAAAAGTACGAGGAATATACATGTATGTAGGCCCTAATAAAAGTGAGTTAAAACAGAAAGAGAGAGAAGTGCATTTGACATCCACACCCACCCACCCACACACGACAAAGGCAATGGATGTACATATATACCTGTGTAGTGGTAAGGACTTGGCTGCGCTGCTCTATCTCGTGACTCAGTCTCTCCTTTTCCGCCTGTATAATAGAGTACACACCTTTAGTTAAGTCCCCTACTGCCCAAGAAGGTCAGGGTTCACCCATAAGGAAATTAGTGATGACATAATAGACATGATGACATCACAGAATTGGCCAACAAGGAAGCTAGGCCAGGGTTCTAATTAATCCCCCACATACTTTCAATCTTTGGATGTTGGCATCTTTGGCATCATCCAGTGGTTCAACTCTCACCCCTGACTCATTTGTCCTTCTCTCCCCCTCCTCCCCCTCCTCCCCCTCTTCCTCCCCCTTCCTCCTCCTCACTGTATCCCTCCACCATTACATCATCACCACTCTCATCCTCCCCCTCCTCTCCCTCTCCAATCTAAAGCAGAGAAGGTTGACTACCTGAAGCCATCCACAGAGAAAACTTCACCACCTCTTCTCCTCCATTCCTCTCTCCATTCGGGGCTCTGTCCACCTCGTTACAGTGGGCATGGCTTGTGAGCCGATCACATGTCCGAGAGAGCAGTGTAAACCTCAGAGCATTTTGTTCTTTTATTTGCTGAGTGTGTGAACCAGCACAATAGGTCACAGTGAGCTAATTAGAGATAAGTCCACTTACCTCGGATGTCAGTTTGAACAGAGAGGGCGTGGCCAACGACGTCTCCGTGGAAACCTCTGCCTTGAGTGGCATGAACCCCATCAACATTCCGTCCTCCCAGAGCCCCGCCCACTCTGGGCCAACCACAACTAAAAACAAGACATTGATATCACACTGGCAGAGGTTGGACAGATTGCAGCATGAGAATAATGTGAAATTATGGTATGCAGCACATCCAAGGCAGCTGAGGTGGGGGGTTAGCAACACACACATGGCAACAGGAAGGGAGCAACACACACATGGCAACAGGAAGGGAGCAACACACACATGGCAACAGGAAGAGAGCAGATGAGCCTGATAAACAGCTATTTACCAGAGCTGGAACAATGGCTGGGATAGTAGCCAGCCTTATCAGTGAGTGGGCACAGTAGTAAGAGGCTAAATATGGTAATTAGATTACAAGAGGTTACCTAACTCTGTTGTTGGAAGTAATGACAGGGTCTGACTCAGTTGGAGGAGAAGAGCTCTTCTGGGAATGAGGGAGGAAGAGGGTTAAAATCACACAAATCTGTTGCATGTGTCTAAAACATGTGCTTGCCTTCCATTCCAACTTGCTGCATACACATACATATAACAGATTTGTAGTGTAAGAGAGAGAGTGTGTGTGTGGATGGCTCACAGGTGTGTCTTGTTGGTTGAGGAGAGGAGAGGAGTCCAGATACCCTCTTGTCTGTCCACCCACTCCAGCCACACCCTCACTGCCGGCAGAACCTCCATCACTAGCTCTCCTCCCAGGGCCTTCGGAGGTCAGAGTCCACGGTCTCCCTTCCCTCACGGGAGGAGAGAGAAGCAGCTACAGTGGTGTGAACTCTGTCAACAAGGTGTTGGCTCATGAGGACAGCCACACGAAACGCCAGGTTGAGATAGTAGCTCTGGCCTGCCTTCGAGTCTGCCGGAGAGAGAGAGAAGCAGAGGTCTATGATTGTTACGACAGTAATACACTTTGCCAGATGAGTGATATTCTCGATTCCTACGAGAACTACGCCCAAGAGAGACGATTCAAAAGGACGATGTAAAACCAATGTGTCTAGCTACTGCTGGGTCCGTAGACCTCATACCACTGTATTGAGTGAATGGTGGAACAGAGATGTTGATGACAGTCATCTTGCCAGTCGATGTCCGCCGCCGTGACCCAGGGACCTTCTCCCCAGAACCCTCCTCCATATTACTGGACTGCAGCCTCTCCTCCTCCTCCGCCTCTCCAACTGTCTATCCGGAGACAGAGAAGACGGTCCTGTATTAAATCAGGCTGCACTTCAGTCTATCCAACGTCAATGTATGTGGCCGGATTGGTCCACGTGTCTACTTTAATCACACTCGTTGAAATGGCATCAAGTAGCTATTAATGCTGCTAGTCTCTCTCTCCCTCG